TACATAGACTGATTTCTCAGAGTCAATTTATTTAAAAAGCTCTCCTTCTCCTCTGACGAAGAACTCTCTGTGAGATTTTTCACATAAATGAGACTTTATTGTTATAAATATTATCATTATAAATAGGATTCACTTCCCGACCGGAAGATTCTGGAAAAGATCAAGAAAGTCTGACACCGAGAGAGGAAAAAACAAGAAAACGCATCATCATTTTTTTTATCATGCACTTCTATTTCTGTCATTATTTAAATACGCTGCAAAATAAAAACATTAAAAAAACAAAACTAAAATACCACCCGTTAAAATGTGGTTAAAAATGTAAACTGATTAACCTCTACAAGTTAATTAACACAAACTGAAAGGTAATTTTATAAAACATTTCCTGACCATGAAAATGTTTGTGTTTTTTTTCTACTTTCAAAATTCATCAAGTGGGCCGGATTGAAACACCAGGCGGGCTGATTTTGGTCCACGGGCCGCATGTTTGGCAAACCTGCTTCAATCATTTCAAATACTTATAGTTTTATATATATATTTTTTAAATTATTTTTTAAATGTGTCAATGATGCGTTCAACTCCGTGACTACTTCACTGACAATCGTATCATTTGACGTTCTTCGCGGCTGCACCTGCACATGACGGCCACATCAGTGGCACGACGTTGACTGACTGACTGACTGTTGGTAATTAACCTGTTAACTGATCACACGTGCACAAAATGTGCAACCCTAGTACGACGAGGGAAGCCTGGGCCCAAAGACCTGAACTCCTCCAGAGGAGATGGATCGCAGCCATCGATTCCCGGTGTCTTTCACCTGCAATCAGATACTGTACAAATTGCCTTTTGTCGATTGGTAATTATATAGGTGAATGATTTCCTGGCAGAGCCCTGCTCCTAATAAAATGTGCTTTTTTTTGCTGATGTCGGGGTTAGCGGTGCGAGGTGGAGGCGAAGCACAGGGGAGGCGTTAAAGTGAATAAGTGATGTAAAAAAAAAAAGAAAAGGGAGGAGAAGGGGAGTCGTGGTCGGAGGGGGGGGGCGGTGTTTCATTACTGCTGCGCCGTCTCTAACAGATCTAAATTTTTATTGGACTGAAGTCAAACTCTGGATTTAATCTGAAGTTTTTTGGATGTGAAAACAGATTTTTAGCATGTTCTAAATCAGTGGTGCCCAAACTCCGGGTCGCAGACCAACACCGGTCCGTCGGTTAATTGGTTTTATTTATTATCTGATTCTGAACAATGTTTTATTTTGAAACTTGTAGACCAAGCGTTCTACGTTAAAAGACGACACAATTAAAAATAAGTAATTGTTTGTGACTGTGGGGGTAAATAAAAAAAAATTGGACAAAAATAAGTAATTGTTTGTGACTGTGGGGTAAATAAAAAAAGATTTGACCCCACTACAATAACTACATGCCACCAAGGGCGCTGCGCCCCTTACTTTGGGATAATAAAATAACATGTTAGCAAATAAAGTTATGTTGTAAAAATGAAAAATAAATCATGTGATTGGTCAGTCAAAAGATTAGCACAAAAAAGGTGTGTAAAAAAAAAGTTTCGCAGCGTTTTTTCATTTTGTCTTGAAACTTTTTGACTCATTACCTAACCTTGTTCATAGGTGCGATCTAATTACTGACCTGCGGAGGTGCTCTGACTCCTTTTTTTTTTCTCCATTTGAAAGTCCATAATGAAAACCTCAGCAGGTGAAGGCTAAAAAAAAAAAAAGAAAAAAAAAGAGAAATGGTTAAAACGACCTTGACGATGCGTTCACTGACACCTCCGCGTCACATTATTTGCCTGAGAGATTATTGTCTTGGCAACCGTGACATCGTTCATATTGGATGTCAAGACGCAGCCCGGGATGACGCCGCCTTGCTCGGAGATAATGGAGATCCTTTCATGAAATTAGCATCTTGACGTGGATTATTTGTGAACCTATCAGAGAACAGCAATCTGTCAGTTAGCTGTGACTTCGCTTTTTTTGCTAAATGGACCAATTTTCTGTTATTTTGATAATCAACTCCGAGATGCAAAAACCGTCACGTCCTGTTACCAAAAAAAAAAAAAGAAACGGAAAAGAAAAAAAAAATCACATCTCATGGTTTGTACTAATGTTTCCACACAGAGGTCTGTCTCAAAGGTCTTGAAGGTCTTGAAGATCTTGAAGGTCTTTGAACGCCCCACCTGGCCGCGGTGCTTCATTCACGCCCCGTCACCACAACTATATCAATGCTCTTAAATGTCCGACGTCAGAAAAGTTCAAATAAAATAATCCTTGATACATCCCTGTGTGTGTAATATAATCAACCACTGGGTGGCAGCACGATATCGTGAACTGTGGAAAAAATATATCCAATTTTATTAAAATTTTCCTGAAAACTATTTATTATTTAATTACTAATAATTTGTCTTTGTTCTTACACGACAGTGATGCGCAGAACAATGGAATACTTTTCCACAAGGTGGCAGTGACTGGCTATAAAAAAAACATCTGTTGCAGAATATGTTACTTTCTTCAATTCCTGTGAGTACAGCAGTGTTGTGTTCAACTAAACAGGCAGAAGTAAAGATATTTTTATGTTAAGTTTTACGAATAATTAAAGTTCTGTGCATCTAACCAAGCTGTTCTGTGTGTGTGTGTGTGTGTGTGTTCCTGCAGCAGTTAGTAAGACACACACACACAGCTGACACACAGCTGACGGAGACAGAGGTGTCGGACACGTCTGTCACCTCCTCCGCTGCAGCAGAAACAAAAGCCTTTAAAATGTGTTGTTCTCACGAAACGCGACTCAAACATTTGCTTTGACTTCGCAGTATAACACCTTCAGTTCCACAACATCACCACCGGGGGGAGAAGTTTGGATGAGATAATGTCGTGAGAACAAAGTTATTTTCACTTTCATTCCACTTGCGAGGCTGAATGTGACGCACACGATGTGTGTGTGTGTGTGTGTGTGTGTGAAGTCCATGCATTGTATGACCTTTGACCTTCCTGACACATCATTTCACCTTTTAAAACATCACAAAAATACAACTCTGACATCAGTAAAATATTATTCACAAAAAAATGTAAATAAGTAGAAAGGACCTTTGATGTGTTATGCTAGTAGCACAGTTAGCATAGCCAGTTTACTTGGATCAAAATATGACATATATATATAAAACTACTAAGTACTATTAAGTTACTATTAAGTTACTATTAAGTACTAAATAATTAGTAGTAGATCATTTTAAAACATTATGTATTAAAATATTACAGTAATATCTGATTATTGATGTGTTCTAATTAGGGATGTCTGATATCTGAGCTTTTTGCCGATATCTGATAACACTTCATTTCCGATTCCAATATCAACCCATACATATACAGACCTGGATATATTTATTTATTTATTTATCTGTACAAACCACTCTATGAGAATGAGATTAATTAAATGAGCTGCAATGCTGCCATCTAGTGACTTTCACTTTAACATACAGCCGTTTTTCCCCAAAACTACTTTTAGGGCACACATCATTTGGCGAAACCCAGGAATTGCGTTATCGGGTTTTCATTATCGGAGGAAAAACCCGTTAACGATTCTTACAGATATCACAGAATTTTGCTAATATCAGGCCGATAATATCGGTCGGCCGATTATTTTTTAGGTTGTAAAATAAGAGGATATATATTTTGTGACGAACCTCTGGGTGACGGTTTGAAAGTACCACAGAGTACTACAGAGTACTACAGAGTACCACAGAGTACTACAGAGTACTACAGAGTACCACAGAGTACTACAGAGTACTGTGTGGGCCGTCGTCCTTGTTTATGTTTGGGTTTCATTTTCTCAGGGTGAAATGAGGCTGGAGATAAGGCTGC